TTCCTTCCTTCCTTCCTTCCTTCCTTCCTTCCTTCCTTCCTTCCTTCTTCCTTCCTTCCTGCCTTCCTTCCTTCCTTCCTTCCTTCCTTCCTTCCTTCCTTCCTTCCTTCCTTTCTCTTCTACTCCTTTCGTTTTTTTTAAATAATTCCTTCCCTGGGTGGAGAACCGCCTACCTTGAGTCTGCTTAGTCTCACTTACATGAGGACTAATCCAAACAGACTCAAACCTTGAAAGAAAAATTAGAGTGTGCCTGCAGTTGTGTTTATGTTAAGATAATCTGTGATTAGCCCTCCTCCCTCTACTTGGCTCCGGCCGGCGCTCGCACGTGACAGAGCCCCTGATTTCTGTGCTGTTCTCTGTTACAGATCCTTGAGGAGGCCTACAGCCTGGTTCGGCATCAAGTTTCAGAAGGATTAAGTGCCTTAAAGGGGGAGTGCCGCGCTCTGACGAAGGGCCTGGAGGGAGCCATCCGTTCGGACATGGATCAGATCGTGAACTCAAAGAACTTCTTAATTGGAAAGATCAAAGGTCCGTGGAGATAATCCATGCGCCTACAGCTCAATAAGCTGTGCGTGTAGGGCTCCACCATGTAGTCAGAATTCATGATTTCAGAGGAAAACTGAACTGACGGAATTGGGAAGAACTGAGAACAGGTGTAAAGGGGACATGCAAGTAAGGGCCTGGACCTTCCCAAGGAGACTTCAGGGACACAGAGTGGAGGGGAGTTCACTTCGTGCCTGTGGTGGTGCCTGCATATTCTGATTCGGCCCACCCCTGCCCCGTTGCAGCACTTCTTAGGCTCATTGTATTGGCTTCTACGCACGCCCCTCCTCTGCTATAAGCTGTCTAAGAACAGGACCATGTGGCCCCTGTTTCACTCAGGCACACCCAGGGCCTAGTACCATGCCTGGTATATTCCGACTCTCAGCAAATACTTGAATGGGTGAATAAATGGATTTTCTTTTTGCAAGAAGAAAATTGGCTTAGAGTTGATAAATGTAGATTCTAGTCATAAGTGCAACATTGGCCCGTCAGGTGTACTTGGGGAGGTCACTTGACTTCTATGTGCCTTAGTGTCCTCCTCTGTCATCAGGAGGGGCCTTGAGAGGGAGATCTGCCAACTGTGGCCCCAACCCAAATTGGGCCCCCCGCCTATTTCTGTAAATAACATTTCATCGGGACACAGCCATGCCCATTCATTTATGTATCGTCTGTGGCTGCGTTCATGCTTCAAGGGCAGAGTTGAGTAGTTGGAACTGAGACCTCCTGGGCTGCAACGTCACGAATGTTCGCAATCTGACCACTGACAGAAAAATGGTTGTTGCCTGTGCCCTCACAAGAGGCCTGAGATGGCCTCTAAGGAATTCTACAGGATAACATGTTAAATGTTAATTCCTACATCCCAACAAGCACAGCACACCGAGTGTCATTTCAGAGAAGCATGCTGGTTCCTCTGCGATTGTTTATCAGCAATCTTATATTGTCAATTCTCAGAGTCTTCACTCACTTGCTCACTTGCTC